GCGAGGGGCGGCCGGTGGGCGGGCCGTGAGGTGACTTCTGGAAATGGGTCCTGTAACTTCCTGAGTTGTGACTTGATAGTTTGGGCGCCCTGAACTGCGCGGAAGCGCACAGTTACTTTAAACTTCATTTCCCCATTCTCCCCCTCCCCGCCCATCATCGTTTTTGTGATTTGGGGTACGTGCTTTGGTCCCCAGCGCCCGTTTCCTCTATAACTGCTGGGATGGAGGCCGCTCCACGGCAGGTTTTGATATTTGCAAGATGGGAATGCTCCTCTTGCTTAGTGTGTGGGTAACAGCAGACTGGTGAAATTGTGCAGTTAAAAGTTCTAGATTGTTTCGCTGCCAGTCTTGTGATTTTCTATCTAACAGGATTCTTCCAGACAGGCACTCTGTGCCCTATTTTTTTTGTTCATGTTAATATACCCTCTCCAGGAAGAGTAAGTCTATCTTGATTCCTTACTGTTGTTCCTGGGTCTAACATCCTTGAGCAAACATAAAACTATATTTGGTCGTGTTCAACATTGCTGTCATGAACAGGGGCAAATGTGAAGATAGGCAGACTTCCAGAGGCCGATTTAGGATGGTTTTATTTCACTTTGACATCTACCATACTATTGTAAGTAGGTTTACCACACCTAAGTTGCTGTAATAATAATTTCACTAGTCGGACTAAAAAGGCACTACTTAAAAAATAAATTATTCTTGATATAGTAGCCACCTTGTGAAAGTAAGTGCGTTGTAATTTAATGATTTCTGACCTCAACAGTTACTTCAAATGAGTAGGAGGGGGATGACAATGTACTTGTAAACAGAAAATTTTTAAGTGATGGAAAACACCTAAATCGTTACATGAAGCAGCATTAGGGATAATAAGGATGAGGGTTTTTTCTTCCTGTTTCTTTCTCTACTTTAGTTCATATTCTGGCATTGTTGCTTACTGCATTTAGTAAATGTTTATTAAGAACTCCAAGAGCAAACACACTCTAGGGATCTTAGGGGACGTAGAGGTGAATACAAAACCTCATTCTAGTTTCTACATCTTAATGAATGTACTCTCCTCAAAGTAACAACCTTGAGATATTTAGTTACTCAAATGATTGTGCCACTATTTAGGTAGCAACCCTGGGAAATTGCTTTTAGAATTTACAATATAAAGGTTAAGTAAAACTTAGTATATCATCTGCACAATTCAAATTTGGACTAAACTTAGAAATATTAAAAAGGAAGTATAGTAGACCAAAAGTGGCAATTAAAGTTGGTGAAACCTTTTTAAAAAATCATTTTATTGGGGGCTCATACAATGCTTATCACAATCCATATAGCCATCCATTGTGTCAAGCACATTTGCATTGGTGAAACTTTGTCTTTTTTTTTTTGTTGCTGTGCTTAAAGTGGTGACACATTTTTTCCCATGTGTTATAAAATGATGTTTAAGCTAAAGATATTTCTAAAAGAAGAGTGCTGGTATGGAAATGTTTTTTATAGACCCCACCCCATTAAAAATGATTACAATTAGACAAACATCCCATGTTAAAATGTATTTTTCATGTGCTTCACTTCCAACTCCATTGAGATTGAAGTAATTATAATCCTCTTTTATGGTTTGTCAAAGGACAAAGGCTACAATAAAGGAGTTTGGGAAATCCAGTGTTCTTGGTGAAAAGGTTGGTCAAATGGGCCCTGGTGCCTCACTCTGACCTGGATTCTTTTTCTGGCTTTGGTTCTGAGTAATTGCTATTTTCCAGTACACATGTTCCATTTAGGCATAGCAAATAGTAATTTGACATTTGGCAGCGGTAACTACTACTGTAACCACTTGAAGAATAAAAATTCCTCCTTCACAGTGTGCTTGTTTATCCTATTTTCTGTTTATTTGTAGTACTCTAACTGACAGTATGTCTTTGACCTAACAAAAATACACATGGTTTAGGAGCAAAAAAAAAAAAAAAAAAGAAAGATCAAATTCACTGACTTTGAACTAATTCCAATTCATAGTGGCCCTGCAGGAGAGGTAGAACTGCCCCTGTGCGTTTCTGAGCCTAATTCTTTACATCAATAGGAAGCCTTTCTTTCTCCTGCAGAGTGGCTAGTGGTTTTGAACTGCAACATTATAGTTAGCAGCCCAATGCTTCACCACTATGCCACCAGGGGTCCTAAGAATGGGGAAATGAGGGAGCTATTTCTTCACATAAATGAATGGTCTTATTCTTTTCCAGCCAAATTATGGTATTTTCATTTGAAATTCTGTTGTGTACTTTTTTGTTCTTGTCTATATTTCCTCCAACTATTTGAGTTTTGAATCCAGTTAGAGCATTAGAGAGTGTGGTAGTTACATAATCTGTTGTCAATTTGTGACTTAAGAGTTGAAGTGGTAGAGTTTAGCCTGTCAATCAGGTTGCAGCTTGATGACCTCATTTGGAGGTGCGAGAGAGATAAATAGTTCCCTGGAGGCAGGACACTTCCTCACTCCCTGCTAGACAGTACTGACAATGAGCCTGATGGAACTGTGCTGACGCAGCCAGAGCCCTGGGAACTGGAGGAGCCACGTGGAGACCCGCCCCTGAGATGCTTTCACCCCCACTGGATCCACAAGATTTTTTTACCCACTGGCCTGTGATCTTCATGCAATCGGCATTATTGAATGACTGTGTCACAAAAATTCCTAAAGAGGAATTTATGGACTAGTATTGGGCAGTTGAGCTAATATTGGACTTATGGACTTGAACTGGGCTGGGATGTCTTCTCAGTATTCAATTATATATAAAGCTCTTTCTTATACCCATATAAATGTCTCTATGAAGTTGTTTCTCTAGTCCACTCAGACTAACACAAGAGAGTTATACTATACTATGAAATAAAAATTGGCACATTAGTGTGTGTGAAGACCTTCATGTTGTCTTGTTTTGCCTCCTACCACAGGAGCTTCCTAATTCCTTCATTTGTTGTTTACTCTGCAATTAGATGTTGAGATCATAATTTCAATATCATATGTCCAACAGGAATCACTCTTGGGGCTCTGCTCATGGCAGTCACATCTAGGCTAATGACTTCTTTTTTAAACGTGCTCTGCAGGGAAGAGAAGACATTGACTGATACAGTCAATATGTCCTTATCCAGTGTCCAACTTTCACACTCATATGAGACAATTGAAAATAACAAGGCTTTGGGTCAGGCACAGACATCTTTGCTTTTTCATAAAGAATTATTATTATTATTTTTTAAATCATTTTATTGGGGATTCTTACTTGATACACTATTTCTTAGCCTAGCAGTGAGTAACATCCATTGACTTTGTTTTAGCAATCCAAATCAAATACGACTCCTGAGTGTGTGGAACAGAGAACTAAACATATATAAACATCTCTAATACAGCAACACAGTTTTCATTCTTTAAATCGTGAGACATGATTAAAAACTAAGAACAAACTGAGGAGATTCCTACTCATAGTGATCCTATGAGGACAAAGTTGAATCTTCCAAAGGATAGTCAAGGGAGGCCTTCATCTATGGATGCAGACTGCCACACGGTCAACTTGAGAAATGACTAGTGGACTGAAACTGCTGAATTTATAACTGGAAACCAGGTGTTTTAGCTACTGTGACACTAGGGCTCCCTGACACACTCATAACACTCCTTAGATGTAAGGCCACAAAGCTTACATACTTCGTATACTTACCCCAGAGAGACAAGACAGGTCAAGTCTTTGGAAGATAAATTTCTGGATATTTCAGTGATGAAAGGCATAATATCACAGCACACAAAGAAACAAAAGCAAGACCTGTTTTGTGAGCAGCATGCCAAAATCATTGAAATTACTAGGAACTGTTTATGACTAAGATGTTCGTAACATAAAAGGGGTGTATTAAAATGGAGGAAAGAATATTGTCAGCTTCAATTAACTGCATATAATAATGATCAAGTTGTCTCTAGATATCTTGTAGAAACTGCGCAGAGCTCTTGAAAAATTCCTTTGAATGAAGGATGTTAAAATCAATTCTAAAATTACCTGTATTTAAGATATGGTATACAATATTGACAGTTTATCATGCTGCATTTAAAAATTTCTTAGTGGATATATAGTCATAAACCCATTTATATTCACACTTCTCTTCAACGTTCACAACAACCTGCGATATTCAAACTATACAACCTTGCCTGCGGAAGGCAAGGAGGACTTCAATCACTTGCTGATGCATATCCAGGATTGCAGCTGTCAGTGTGGATTACAACTCAGTGTAAAAAGACAAAGATCCTCACACCTGGACCAAGAGATAACATTATGATAAACAGAGACAAAAATTCAAGTGTCAAGAATTCCATGTTACTTGGATCCACAGTCAATGTTCATGGACGTAGCAGTCAAGAGATCAAAAGATACATTGCATTAGGTAAATCTGCAAATAACTCTTTATGAAAAAGCAAAGATGTCTGAGTACTAAGTTGTGCCTGACCCAAAGCCTTGTTATTTTCAGTTGTCTCAGATGAGTGTGAAAGTTGGACACTGGATAAGGACGATTGAAGAAAAATGAATGCATTTGAACTCTGGTGTCAATGAAGAACTCTGACAGCACTGTGGACGGCTGAAGAACAGACCAAGCTGTGTTCGAATACACACAGCCAGTGTTTCTTAGAGACCAGGATGGCGAGAAATCATCCCGTGGGCTTCGGACTCTGTGGACTTGGTCAAGTGGAGGGGCAGCGAAATAGCGGAAGG